CCTATCATTATTATATACTACTATAATTTTTAATAAATTCATTTTTCCCGAAGTATCACGAGGGTTAAAGAGCTAGTCTAAGTAATAATTTAAATTTATTGTAACAATTATAAATTGTCGAATGTTGGCAGAGTATTGTAAAATAATTATAGAAGAATTTAGTGTAATCATGGATTCTCTTCGAGAAAGTGTTGAGAAGAATTTCTATGAGTGGGTAAAATTTGGAGAAGTTAAAGTCATACCTGGTACTAATCAATTTATTAAAATATCATCCACAAGCTTTTTTCAAGAAATATTTCGATAATATTTGATCTTTATTTTCAGAAAATATCTAATGTAAGGAAGGCAATGTGATGAGTGGCGTTTAAGAACTTGAAGATTCATCAGTCCATTGTTAAAGGTCAGATGGTAAGTTTGAGATTTTAGCTTTCCTCACAAAATAACCTTGTCCCATATTTCTGATTCTTTAAAAGAGAGATCAAAGAATTCTTTTGAAGAGCGGTAAGATCGTCTGAATCAAAAACTATCCAAAGTAAATACCTTTTGCTTTTCCTATACATCGTTACCTTTGTTCCTGTTAATAAAAAAACAAGAGAGTGTTCGATCACCGATTAATTAACTCTGTATAATCGTTATTCGAATTATTTTTCAAGATGCAACAGGGAAGTATTACCTATATACTTGTTTTATACTTTGTTGGTTTGGTACTCTTCATGGTAGTTACTACCAACGATTAATCCGAATTTCGAATCCCACGGGTTCATGTCATTTGTCCAACAACCATTTCCCAACAATATTTTTGAAAATATTATTGGGAAAATAGTTGTCGGATAAATTGTTGTTGGGCTTCTACATATCTCATAAATGCAGCCACCATCTCTCTAAAAGATACATCCATTGTAGTTATAGAGAAGAATGATGTAAGTGGGCAGTATTGACCTTTCATTATTTCAACAAAACATTCTAATACTAAAAAATCCTCCGAAATATGTCATAATTGAACTTACAAATGGATCATCTTGCAATTTCGAAAACCTCCAACCAGCAAAAGACATGAGCCGAATCCCACGGCTGATATGGCTTAACAATCCCATAATACAAGAAAATTATACAACTATCCACAAAAATTATAACAATATGCAGATTATACATTGAATTATCTTAATGAATTTTAGAACTAAATTTATTTAGAGGATTAATTTCGTCTCGCCATACAATTTTATTAAAATAAACAATACCGTACATCGCAAAAAATCATTCGTCATATTTTAACTTATTTATTAATGCATATATAAATATATAAATAAGTTATTCCTACATATAATCAATCATATGAATTATCTAATAAAGTAAACTCAATTAAAAAAAAACAATATGATGTTCTCTGCAATAATCTATAGCTTTTTGATGTTTATTTTTGGCTGCTTTAATCAACCATTTCTCCCCTTCACTTCTTTCATCGTCATTTCCATTCAATATCAAAGTGATTCCCAAATTATACATTGCAGAATAATTATTATTCTCAGCAGCTAATCTAAAATAATACGTAGCCTTCACCT